ATCTCGGCTTCGGTGATTGGTTTAGGCTGTGGTTTGTCAGGCTCGGGCGTAGTAGCCGTAAGGCGCCTGACCGGCACGGGATGCAGGTGGCCCCGCTGCGGGTAGCCCCGCAGAGTGACCACGTTCTCGATCGAGTTGCCGATTGGCATCTGGTGGAAGTCGGGAGTGAAGTAGCGCAGTGAGGTAGGAGAGAGCGTCTCGAGCTCGCGGGTAGCCCCGCTAGCCCGATCGCGGACTGGCTCCGCTCCTCGCAGAGCCGGCGCAACATGGTATTCCACCGTAGTAGTAGTCCACCAAGTTGTGCCGTGGATGATGGGTATTAGAGCGAGAGCCAGCCACACGAGAGTGTAGCCAGCTCCGCTACCAAGTCGAAAACGCACTGGTAAGCCAAGATATATGTTCCGCCTTAGGCGCTCCCATATCCCAGGCTTTGGCTCATACCGCATGAGCAAGAGAGCAAGATGAAGCATGGGATCTGGAGTAAAGGATAGAAGGGGCATCTTCAATAGAAAGGTCTTTTCCGATCTCAGATGCGAGTAGTGCGCCTCGGTGAGGCACAATCACATGTTCGGCCGGGCCCGGCTTGAGCCAGGCACGGCAGCGGTGCATGCTCGATTTACATCTCGCCTTTAACCCTCTCCGTTTAAAGTGCGGAATGTCTAAAACGTCTCTTCATGCAACATCTCTTCAAGCCCGCAAGGTGGACGACCCGGGAGAGCAAAGGCAGCTAGATGTCTGCAGAGAGCCCAAGAAAGCCCAAGATGCCGTTCACAATGTCGCAGTATAGCTCAGGATGGACCAAGGTGCCCCCCACAATGTCTCCAAGAGGCCTCAAGACGACTGCCCCAAGACGGCTTCAAATGGCAAAAGAGACTAACAATGGTGCTCCGAGGGGGCCGAGACCAATTGAACGCGCATGGAAGCACCAAGAGGCTCTGCAGTATCGTCCTTTCGCTCTCGATGGGCTTCTGGGGCATTACGATGGCCTCCGAATGCCGCAATCTAACCCCAAGAGGGGACCGAGAGGGGTCTTACACGGCCCCAAGAGCACCCAGTAAAGCCCCATTAACGCCCAAAGAGGGCCCCAAGAGGCGACCCTTAGACTGAAGCAGAAGGGACGCTCCTTGAGGGCCCCTTCTTTGACAAACAAAAAAAAGTGGACACGCGCACAAGGTGTCTGAATGACGTTGGCCTCTATGGGGGCATCAGTGGGAAGCTGTTGGGCCAATATGGCTCCAACATGACCTCGGAGAGCTCAAAATTACCTCTAAGATGACACACGAAAGCCGAAGATGATTCAAGACTGCTCTCATCAAGCCCCTCAAGACGGCGCAATACTGGTCCAAGACGACCCCGAGTGGCGACGGAGCCTCCCAATGATGCGTCCGAGAGGCCAACATCCTTTCGACACCTGAGGGGATCACATGCATAGTCGTGTTATCGCCCTTTCGATGTCGATCGTCGTTCGAGGCCTCAATGTGATTCCGTTAGGGTCCAAGAGGACTCCAAGACGGACCCTCAAAGCACCCACGAGCGCCCCGAGAGGGCCTCCAGCGGCGTTGCTTGAACTCAGGAGGGTCGACGCTACTAAGGACCACCCTTCTTTGATCGACGCCGAAGATGGCCCCGAGATGGGGCCTTCAAAGGGCCACAAGTTGGCCCCTAAAGATACCAACATGTCCCCACAAGGGCTCCACGATGGCTCCGAGAGGCTACCAATCGGCCCTTAGATCGAAAGATCCGCGAGGGTCTGCATGGTTAGCACCTGCCGTCGTCGTCGTCGTCGTCGTCCTCTTCCCCTCATCCTCGTCCTCGTGAACGTCGTCGTCGTCCTTGTTAACGTCGTCGTCGTCGTCATCGTCGTCCCCCCTTCCTTCTCCATCCTCCTCCTGCTCCTCGTCTTGCTCATCATCTTCTTCCTCTTCCCCCTCCTCCTCACCTCCGGGTTCCTCCTCTTCCCTCCTCGTCGTTCCTCCTTCTACTTTCTCCGCATCCTCCTCAAAGACGACGCCAGGAGGAGGATCAATCCGGGCGAAGATAGATCCAAGATCCCTGAGGTCTGGCGGGTCTGGAGGATGTCTCGGGCGTCGCGGCCTTCTCAGAGCGTTCCGGAACGCTCTGAGAGCGTTTCGGAAATCTCTGGAACGGATTTATCCTCGTCCTATCCCCGTCCGATCCTCCCTCTTCGACTGCAGGCTCGGCAATTCCACTCCTGGGTGTGCCCAGGCTGATTCCAAGCTTTGGTTTTGAGGGCTGGCTCATCTGCCCGTTTCCCCGGATGCTCCTGCGCCTCCCTGATCGAGGCAAACTCGTCTGGTGCTAGCTTCCGGACGAGCTGGTGGGGACACTCGAAGCGTCAATACTACAGAAATACTGCAGGTTCACGCGGCGCCGGCGCACACAAAAGTTTTAGACACCGCCTCGATCGTTCAGCCTTGAACCTATCGCGGTCCTGATCGCTCCAGGGTGAACTCCGTCGGATCCTGTGGCGTTGCCGTGCCCCTTGGAGCTTCTGCGTCGACCTATCTTGCGGAGTTCAATCTTGAACGCCTTCGCAAGCGTTGCCGGCGCGCCATCGCCGCATGAACCTACAGTACTGATATAGTTTCTGGATGGGCTGGTGGACACCAGCCCATCGACGCTTGTAGTATCGACGCTTGGAAATCTGAAACTATATCTGTAGCATCGGCGCTTGGTGTATCCCCACCAGTGGGGATACTCCGAGCGTCGATGCTGCGGATATACCACGCACGTTCGCTGGGCAGAGCTTGCACTGAAAGGGTCTCGCCTACGGGTCGTTCAGTGATCGGTCGAGTGTTCCGGGTGCTCGGTTGGTGTCCGCCCGTGGGCACCTCGTGGGCGCCCCGAGCCCTGGGGGGGTATGCCGAGGTTTCGCCTGGTGCCGCCCGTGGTGGGCTTGTTTTCCACCGCCACCACCACAAGTAGGAGTGGGACTGAGTGGGGGGGGGGTCTTCCTCCTCCTCCTCCTCCTCCTCCTCCTCCTCCTCCTCCTCCTGTTCCTCCTCCTCCTCCTCCTCTTCACCTCTTCTCCTTTCCTCCTCCTCCTCCTCCTCCCCCTCCTCCTCCTCCCCCCCCTCCTGCAACTTCTGGTGTTGGTGGTGGTGGAAGAGAGGCCCAGCAGCCCATAAGCGCCTCATAAGCTCTGCCGAGGCTTCGCCTGGTGCCCGCTCGCGGGTGCCCCGCGGGTGAGTGATGTGCGGAAGTGTCGCCTGGGGCTATGTGCTGCTCCCATCGTGCTCTGAAGGGCCACATTCCAAAAATAATTTCGAGCCCCCGGAACAGTGCCGAAACAAGTGTCGAAACAGTGTCGAACGAGTATCGTCCAGGGCCCGACACGTGAAGACCCTAGAGTTTCGGTACTCTCTTGGTGCTCGAAATTCTTTCTGGTGGTTCAGGCTGGTGGGAACACCGACAGCGTGCCAGTGGGCGCCTGGTGGGAACACCGACAGCGTGCACCACGTGGACTGCACAATACATCGTGCATCACAGTCGTCGTGTATCACCACGCACACATAGCCTGCACGCCACAGCGTGCACCACATAACTTGCATCAAATGGTTTGCACCACGTGGTCTGAACCACACAGCTTGCACGACGCAATTTGCACCACGCATATGGCACCGCATAGCTTCCACACAGCCGGCACCACAATTTGCACCACATAGCTTGCACCACATAGGTGCACCACCTGTTTTACACATCCACCGTGCAGTAACTTACCGTTTAAGGTTCACTCTGGTCAGAGTGCTTTCATACATATTTACAAGGGGTAGAGAGATGGATAATGAGAGAGCGACAGAGATCATGGGAGAGAGATAGGGGTCGACAGAGAGGACAAGAGACAGATGACGAGGATGTGCGAGCGGAGAGCGGAGGCGCAGGAGGGCATGAAGGGTATCAAGGATAGACGGGGGAGTGCAGAGGTCAAGAGCGACGGATAACGATTATGAGAGGCGGGAGCGTTTGAGGGAGGAAGAGGAGGGAAGCGGCGGAACGAAACGGCCGAAGGCGGCAGTTGCAGGAGGAGGAGGAGGAGCAGGAGGAGGAGGAGGGAGGAGGAAATAGGACAGGGATGGGAGAGGCGGAAGGCAGGGAATTGGAAGGAAGCAGGGGGCTGGAGGAAGGGAAGGTGGAAGAGGGACAGGGAAGACGGGCGGAGGTGAGAACAAGGAAAAAGGGCCGCCTGACATCTGACATCTTGTCCCTCCCTCCCAGCCCGTCCCATTGCGCTGACCTTTTTCTATGATATCCGCGGACGCCTGCCATAGCCGGCATGCAACTCCACCAGACAAAACAAAGTATCGTGTTATGCGCAATGGGAACAGGGGAGGTGCGTGCACGAAGGAGGCGGGGGAGGCGGCGGTTGAGCAGGAGAATGAGCAGGATGAGGTGGAGTAAGGAAGGCGAGAACGAACATCAGCAGAGGGAACTGGAGTGGAAGGAGCGGGGGGAACAAGAGGACCAGATGGCCAGGGCAAGGCGGAGGAGGGGAAATGAGAGAAGGGGGGGACAAAGATGAAAAATCTAGGATCCAGAAAAGTGGCCCACGCTGGGGCGAGCTCGCCATTCTGAACGACGGGAGCAAACCGCCGGCGGAACCAATCGGATTGCAAAACAAGAACTAACTTGCCCACATCATGCGCGTTAGGAACAATACGCGGAGGGAGGGCTGACAGTCTCAGCACATCTTAGGGGAGAGAGGACGGAGTAGTGTACATTTACATGTGTTCTCTTGTACATGGCGCAGAGGGGGCGACGGAGAATAGCTAGGAGGGATGGCAGCCAGATGGGCGGGAGGGCGAGGGGCGCGGAACGGAAGGGAAACAAGGGATCAGGAATGGGGTGAGGGGCTGAGGGATGGGGAGAGGGAAGAGAGGGAGCAGACGTGACAGCGAGGGAGGGGGACGGGAAGCAAGGAGGGAGGAGAGTGGAGGGAGGAGAGGGGGGCAAGAGGCGAGGGGGAAGGAAATCCCCAACGCCTCTGGCATCATCGTGCGCCGTGTGCTCGCAAATGTCCGGATCACACGGCCCATCGCCCTCGTCTCGCCAGCTGCCACGCACGCGCTGATCGTGCGGAGAGTCTGGCTCAGCTGCTCAATGAGGAGTGTCTTCGGGTCCTTTGGCGGCTCCTTCTTCTCTTCCTTCTTAGCGCCATCGTCCTGTGGAGGGCTGGAGAGACATAACACATTTTACACCGCCCGTTGTCGCTGCCTCGCTCGAGCACTCAGTCGGGGCTGATCAGGCGAAGACCTCACTTCACCACTCCATCGACCGCCGCGGCAGACAAACGACACGGTGGTTCGAACAGACACAAGAAAGTGACGCCCCAAGGAGTAGGGGCGGGGTGAGTAGGATGAGTAGGAGCACGGTGGCCATCAGGAGGATGGTGACGACGGTGGGGATCAGAATGACGATTCGGAACAGGATGAGGACGGTAAGGGCGGTGGGGATCAGAAGGACGGTGACGACGATGAAGACCAGGAGGACGGTGAGGAAGAAGATGAGGACGTAAAGATCAGGAGGAAGAGAAGCAGGACGGTGACGATCCAGGGGAACTGCATGAGGTCGGCAAGGATCGGGAGGAGCAGGAGGAGGGGGAACAGGAGGAATAGGAAGAGTATGAGGAGGGGCACTGGGAGTAGGACGAGTAGGAGGACGGTGAGCATCAGGAGCAAGATGAGGAGGGTGAGGGTCATGAAGACGAAGCAGGATCAGTATGAGGACGGTGAGAATGATGAGGATCAGGGAGAGACGGTAAGGACGATGAGGATTATGAGGACGGTGAGAACCAGGATGAAGACGGCAAGGATCAAACTTAGCAAGGTGATGACTGAGGATCAGGAGGATGTGAATGAGGACGGTGAGGATGAGGAGGAGCAGGAGGAGGAGGAGGAAGAGGATCAGTAGGGCGAGCAGGAGGAGGGATACGATGAGTAGGGTGAGCCAGAGGGCGGTGACGATCAAGATGGCCGTGAGGACGGCGATGCTCAAAAGGGCGAAGAGGGTCATAATGAAGGCGGTGAGGACTCTGAGGATCAGGATGGTGGTGACAACGGTGAGGATCAGGAGGGCGGTGAGGATCAGGGTGAGGACGGTGAGGATCAGGAGGAGCAAGATGCGCTCGGTGCCCCGAAACGCCCGACGCGCGGCCCGCGAAGCGCGTTGGCCCGTGATCACGGCGCGACGCTATCTCCTTCCAGCGCAACGCTTCACTGCGACGGCGTCGGCAACCTGGCGAAATGCTCGCCGAGCAACGCGCGATGCGCCGCGTGCGCGCGGGAGCAGCGCTCTCCGCTCTCCGCTCTCCCGGGGCAAAGTGGCTACCATCGCTGGCGGGTAAGCCCGGAATGATAAAGCGCGGCATGGGCGACGGCCCAGTCCTGAAGGTGCCCGACGCGCCCGAATAACGCGTGAAGGTGCCTCCTCAGATCACAGCGGGCCCATGCGGAACATACGTCGCGCCGCGGCTTCGCCGGCTCGCATATCGCGCAGAGAGCAACGCAATATTAGCGACGCTATCTTCGCAAGGCTCCATCTCGGTGAACCAACACTGGCGGTTGTATGGCATCTTTTTGGATACTGATGCGGATGCTGCAAGTACAAGTACGCATTGCAGGGTTTGCGCTGTTATGAAATCGCAAGACAGCCTCAGAACCCAGGACCCCGTTCCCACATGACCTTTTTCCCCAATGGCGACGAGCTGCATGCGCCCGTCGTCGGCCATGGGTGCCAGGATAATCCTGTCCATTTTGGACAAGTCTGGCTCCTTTGGGTTGCGCCGTGCCACCGTCTCAAGCTCGTAGACCCAGCGTGCCATGTGCTCGGCCACCGCCAAGTTAGCGTCGTCGAGTTGATAGAGTGGTCGAGGCCCTCGCAGACGCGGCGATGCGTGCGACACACACACACAAACACAAACACAAACACAAACACACACACAAACACACACACACACGACGCCCCGCTGACACGACCCCCGACTGGGTCCTCCGGTCGAGGTGGTGGGTGACGAAGACGACGCACGAAACCACGAGCGACATCGCCAGCTCGGGCGCCGCCTTGGCGCCTCGGAAAGGCCAACCAGGCCTCTGAGACTTCTTGCTGATCTTGGCGGCGGGCGACAGCAAGAGCACAGAAACGCCGTTGTCGCGCTCGTCGCCCAGAAGAGGCCTGTCTCGACCAGCGCATGCCGCTTCGAGAAGGGCCACGTATCGGTGTCGGCGTCGGCCACACGATCGACCACGACCCTTCGACCCAGAGCACGCTGGAGCCCCCCTGATCACGAGCGCCTCCGGGTCGGCCAACGCGGCCACTGGGAGGGCGTCGTCGACGCCCATGTGCGCAGGGTCGGCGATCAGCCAGCGGCCGACCTCGGGCTGCGCGTCGACGGCACCCGTGAGACCGTACACGGCCAGTAGCTCCTTGGCATTCCGGCGGACCTGGACGAGCTCCTCGGCCGTGAGCGGGTCGAAAGCGTAGACCTCGCCGCGCACACGGCGCGGGAACTCTGCATCCCTGATGAGCGGGATGACCCTGTGGGCGGGGACTCCCAGGGACTGGATGCTGAGGTCGGGAGTAGCGCAGATATCCACTGCCCAGGACTGGGCGTCGCCAGCAATAGCAGCCGCATGTGCCATCGAAAGCCTTTCGGGCCGTCGAAGATGTCGACGAAAATATGGCGCTCTGGGACGTGCAGCGTCCGCGCCGCCATGCCTCCTTCTCGACGACGACGGGGTAGCCTCGCTGCTGCGCGAGGCGGGCTGCGCATCGGCATGGGTCGCGGCCGGAAACGCCCCCAGCGCAGGCAGGTGGCGCCGGGCCGCCACGAGGGCCACAGCGCGGCACGGGAGGCGGCACGCCACGGCAGGCAGCACGCCGAGCGCCAGGCCGAAGAGGAAGAAGAATCAGCCCCAGCACTTTGGATGCCCGACATGGGTACAGTTGGGGGTCGCTGGGGGGGCAGCGTTGTTTCGAGGGCCAGATCCCCGTACGCTCGGCGGGCGCGCTTGATCGGTCAACGGCAATCCTTCCAGCCGCCCTTCGCGAGAAGCTCTGGTTTCAGGTTTGCTCTTGCCGACGATTGGGCTGCTCATGCTTGCTCTTGCCCAACAGAAGCATTGCCCTCTCCCCCGTCGCCCCAGAAACACAGATCGCGTGTGCTGCCCCTCAGCGAGCTTCAAGGTACAGGAACAAAAATACGATGCCCAATAATGAAGGTTGAACTGAGCCGACAACGGCCGCCGTTGGGCAGGCGGCCAGATGGCTCCCATGGACGACGTCCTCGGCGACATCGACAGCGAATCCGGTCCACAACGGACAGGAACTGCTCGCGGTCTTCGTATCCTTTCTTCCCGTACCCACTTCGATCGTGCTCCAGCACGCGCAGGGTTCGGGCTGGCCGCAGCCCCGGGCCGGCGCCGCCTCCGGCGCGGGCCCAGCAGGGGCGGCAGCGGCCACGGGCGAGGCCGCCAGGGTGAAGCCTGCTCCTGGGCGGCCGGGGCACGCAGGGGCCACGGGGCACGCGACCTCTGCGCAGGCCAGGCTGCAACCTGGGCAGGCAGGGCACGCGGTCACCGGCGGGCAGCGGCCAAGGTAGCCCACGGCGAGGCTGTTCCCGACATCGGCCCGCCGGAGCCTCGTTTCAACGAAAGGGCGAAAACCTGCGATGGAACTGACGTGAGCAGTCGCCCTCGAGTCCGAAGCAAGAGATGCCAGAGACAAAACGTAAAGATAGATGTGTATGTATACATATACCTACATATGTGATACACATACATTGGGTGGATTGGAAACCTTTGGTCTTTAGGAACGCGGAAATCAGGTTCATCCGAACATAGTTCGTTTTCTCACCCCATCGCGGCCGATTCGTCTGAACTTGTCCGTTCTCTCACCATGCAACGCGGCCGATTCATCTGAACTTGTTCGTTTGCCCAGCCCCAAAAATGAACGGTTCACTTCCCCATCCCTCTAAAAAATGAACGGTTCATTTCCCCGACTCCGAAAAATGAACGGTTCAATGCCGCAACCTCTAGAGGCAAGGGTAGTTCATGAACGGTTCGTTTCCCCCCAACATGAACGGTTCAGATCTCCATTTCCCACACGCGCACACACATTCACATAATGTATTGTATGTATGTATATATTTTCTGTGTGTATGTGACATAATGTGTTTGTATGCAAACACACACGCACGCACGCACGCACGCACACGCACAGACACACGCACGCACGCACGCACGCACACGCACAGACACACGCACGCACGCACGCACGCACGCACGCACGCACGCACGCACGCACGCACGCACGCACGCACGCACGCACGCACACACACACACACACACACACACACACACACACACACACACACACACACACACACACACACACACACACACACACACACATTCAAGGGAGAGAGGCCAGGGGCGAGTCCGACCCAAGAGGGGAGCGGCCGCGCGCGCCGCATTTCTGCTCGTGCGCAGCTCCCCCGCACGCTCCAGCGGCGCCTGGGCAGCGATGCCCGTGGTCGCCTCCCCTCGGAGGCAGCCGCGCCGTCGCCGACGCCGCTGCAGTTGCCAGGTCGAGTCGCCGAGTCGATTCTCGGCCAAAAAACATGATGGACCCACGAACCCGGAAAGGGATGTAGACATGTGCAGCATGGTCACGTTTTCACGATACCCAATTGGGCGACACCTCACGAAACATCCCACGAGACACCCCGCGAAACATCCCACGAGACACCTCACGAAACATTCCACGAGACACCTCACGAAACATTCCACGAGACACCCTGTGATACATTCCACGGGACACCCCACGAACAGGCAACCACTCAACCAGACACCCCACGAAACATTCCACGGGGGTGCGACTGGGTGTGGCGGTCGTGCTGGGGGGTGGTCGTGCTGGGGTGTGGTCGTGCTGCGGCGTGGTCGTGCTGGGGCGTGGTCGTGCTGGGGCGTGGTCGTGCTGGGGTGTGGTCGTGCTGGGGTGTGGTCGTGCTGTGGTGAGGTCGTGCTGGGGTGTGGTCGTG